TTTGGGAAACTTAAATACTGAAAAATTGAAGATTTGAAATTTACGGTAAATAATTTGAAAAACTGATAAATTCAGTTTTAAAAATTTACTATAAATAATTTGAGAAACTGAAATATGGAGAACCAAACAATCTAAATCATACATAAATTATTGTTCATATAATCCATAAGTCCATTTTTGTGTTGTTTATTTATATTTATCAGTTTTCCAATAGTCCAGGATATTATCTGAACCCACACTATTCGAAGTATTGCTGTATATTAATTATATTTATTTTATCATAATAAATTAATTAAACTTTCTATTTGTGTATGAACTTAATTAAAATACCGATCTGAAAGTAATTTTTTTATATCTATTTTTTTTTCTATATACACACTTTGTGACTTTCTCACGACGTTATTATGAACAAAGGCGGTTAACTTTGTTGCGGTTTTGAATTCTAGTAGGTTTCCCATCCATCCCCATACATATATGAAATGTTGGCGCGCAAGGATGGTTTCATTGAAAATAATATTGCATAAAGGTGGATCGGCGCGGGGGTTGAAGAGCAGTTGGAATAAAGTTGAACGCGACCCACGATCCCTACCGTGCTTCGGGGACGCAGCAACTCCCTAATTGGTAATTTTACGAACCCCGAGGGCTACATGAACCGTGTCACGATATAGATACAAACTTATATATAAATTCCACTTCCATCCGACTTCCCGCGTACGATCCTAACCCCATTTCTTCTAGATTACCGCCACCCCATCCTTCTACCAACGAAGAAAATACAATCTTTAATTTTTTTCGCATTAATTTTAAAAGTAATATGCTAAATCGTGATAATTAATTACTTCTTCTGTCCGAAAATAGTTGATACATTTCAATTTCATGTAAAGATTATTGGAAATAGTAAATTTAAATTATATCTCTTTATCAGATTTCTTGAATGAATCTAAGTGTGCGATGGCCAAACTTTGCGCTTTTATTTCACGCTGCTGTTGCAAAAGTGACATTCTTACATACTAATTCCGGACAAAAATCCAAGTGAAATGTAGCAACTATTTTCGGACAGAGGAAGTTTTTAATAATTAGGTTTACATAAAGAAGAATATGTAACTGTCCTGTACATAAGATTTGTGTCAATTTTCATTGATGAAATTGATCCAATTAAATAAAAATTACCCCATTATGAATCATTATGCACAAATGAAATAAAGTAAAGAAAGAAACTCTTTTACATAATCGCATCACCTTTTCAAGTTGTGTTATTTGTATTTAATGTCCAAACTTGTGAAGTGGCACTTTTCATTGCAACTGTGCTATTTCTTAAGAGCGCAGCAAGTTCCTGCTAATTCGGCCGGAGCGGCAATTAATTTAATTTTAATATCTATTCATTAAATGGAAAACGGTAATTGGAATTTATGAATTATTCAGTGCTACAATTTAAAGTAATCTCTGCGCTATATTAAATTGCGTTAAAACTCTCATTCACGTCTCTCCTACTTTGTCCACATTTATATTAAACTTTACGATTTATGAAATACAATTAATAATTTATTTATTTACTAAGCTTTTTTCAAATAATAATGTTATAGTTCCCTCTACAATTTAACCATGTGATAATTTTGATATAATCCTTCTAGTTGTATTTTTCAATATTTTGTGAAAAGCTATTGATAAATACGAATATTGAATCCGCGTTATTTCAATGTATATGGAAATATTAAATTATGAAACATCGAATCAATAGTTTGGAAAACTATTATGTGTTTGCTGCATTACAAACTGTGGGGATTATAATCTAGAATTGCATGAAAATGAACAATATCATCAAAAACGTAACAAAAGTCAAACATTGAAATAAAACACAAAGAAAACAAGGTAACCACGGCTGCCCCAGAAAAATAATGAAGAGAACCGTAAAGAAACAAAAAGAATTTTTCGAACGGAAACCAATAAAAATAACCGTTACCAACAATTCCAATTGTAACTAGATCCATTACGAATCAATATAGACCGCGCGCATTGCCATAAAACAATTTTCCTATTTACCAAACAAAACAAAAAAAAAACGAGCGAAGAGGAAAGGAAACAAATAATAAAATAGGAACTCGACGAAAATGCGGCTGACTTTTTTTTTCTGCATTGTTCTTTCACCCTCCGAGGAACGGGGGGCGAATTTCCCTGGAGCAGTCCAAAAACATAAAAAAAAAAGAAAGAAAAAAAATTCAAAAGTTTTGCTTTTGTTTTTTCTTTTGTTTTCTCGTTACGAGGCAATGCAATAAACAGAACAGATTAAATTTAATAAATAAACGATAAACCAATTTTCCCGTTTGGGCGAAAAAAAGAAAAAGTAAAGCAACGAAAGTATAATAATGGGGGAAACGGAACCTAGGTTCCTACATTTTTTATGTGCATCGTGCGTGTGAGTGGTCGAAATCCCAAAATATTTATACCCAAAAACGCAACGAAAATCTGGGCGAAAAGTCCCATCAATTATTTAAACCGAAAATAAACACTGCAGACGTAAAATCAATAGGGAAATAATTGGAACGGAGCCGACCGACAGTTTATTTAATTTATAGTCGATTGATTAATATTTCGTTTTACAATTAATCCGAATTGAACACATTCGCGGATCCAAATAAATATTTTATATTGTAATCAAATGCGTTTGAAATATTGGTTAAAACAAAGGAATGTCATTGTTATTATTATAGTTTGCTCCATATATTTGTACTGCAGTTGTTCTATTTTTTTTTTCTTTCTTTGTAATTAGTGAGTAGGCAATGATGCGGAATGTCTAAGGGTGGATGCAAGGTAGGAAAGAATCTTGGGGAAGACGAGATTCCATTAATCCTGTTGGAAAAGACGAAATTGTATTAAGCATTCCGACTGGCCTTTGTTTTAATTAAAAGCCCAATCCATTTGGTATCAAAGGCCAAGTGGCTGCGCGTGCGAGAGAGACAGAAGATGCGAGCCAAAATGGCGCACGGATAGGGCACTTTATGTGCATTG